AAGTTTGTTATCTAAATCCACGTCAAGGAATCTTGTTAACTAAGATGAGACAATTTCAGCATCACAAATATTAAATGGAACTATCCATCTTTGTCCAAAGGGACTAGTGAATTCAATCACAACTGTCTTAGTATTGTTAATAAGGTGATTCCTATCACACCAATCTTTTAAGGTCTTTGTAACCGTTCTAATCTTATCTGTTAGTTCAGTTGTAGTATTAGCTGTGACAACGATCGTGGTCTCATCTGCATAAATAAAAGTTTGTCCATGTTGATATAATTAGGAAGGTCATTAACATAAAGCAAAAAAAGCAGAGGATCCAAAAGTCCACCCTGAGGTATGCCAATCAAGATGTCGTAATCGTCCGACTACTCTGCCTCAACCTGCACCCTAATAGTTCTGCAAGGCATATATGATACAATCCATTGTTGGATGGGGCCTCTTATGCCCATTGTATCTAATTTGACTTTTAGATATATTGAATTAATTGTATCAAATGCACGACTCAGATCAAAAAATATTCCTACTACAAGTTCATTTCTGTTTATACTATCATAAATAAATTGTACCAGATCAGCAGAGGCTGTTTCAATGGGGAAGTATCACATTTTTTTTCTTTTCTTATTAAATTCCTTTCATCGTAAAAAGTCAATTGTCACATAAATTTTAAATTTTTAATTAATAGTTTTCCTATAAAAAAATATATAAATTCAAAATAATTCTTTATGCACTAAATCGTATCGGTCCAAATTAAACGAATCGTGTAGAGTCGTATTCTGTAGTCTATCTCACTGTTACTCATTTGTGTTTATACAAACTACGTGTGTCGGATAGATTTTATATTATTTACTTTTACTTAACACAATATTGTTAATTATTTTAAAAATTGTACATTCTATGGCTACAGAAGCTGGATTTGTCCAAGAGCAATCTGATAATTTGTCAAAAATAGATGTTCTATAAAATATGTTTGCATGATTACAGTTTTGGTACATTAAATAGTTTGTTGGGGGCAGTTAGTGTTGTGGAACTACACATTGGCACTATAGTATTTATGTTCAGACACTGTTGTTTTTCACGTTCTCGTGTTGTAATTCTGATCCTGAAGCCGCCACACAGTAAAGCTGCCTGGGTAGATATTGTGAAAATGTTCGTAGACTATGAAAATTAACGAAACTTGTCTTTCAATTTATACACTAAAACTAACTACTCAAAACTACTCAGAATTCAATGCGAACACAAACTAATTCAACACAAGATTAAATGACAGCAATGCAATGACAGCGTCAGCCTCCCACGTCTTGACAGTCTTAACACTCATATACCGGATCCTGACGTCACAAATTGCTTGACCAATTAGGGACCGTTTTCGCCCACCTAATTATATTCAATATTTTAATAATTAATTACATATTAATAGTTAAGTTTAAAGGGGTTTTACATATAGAAACATACTTTTATAGTAATTTTCTGTACTTTAAATAAATTTTGCTTCAAAAGAAAATTTGATGCAACTTCCTCATTGAACAATTGGTTCTAAAGCTATGTTGGCAAGGTGTTAATTTATTGAATCTGTTTAAGTAGTTTAAGAGCTGATTCTACACAGCTGTTTCCATTATTTTTGAAAAGCAGCTCAACACACAGATCATTCTGTAGTTTCCCACAGAGTGAGGGTCATCTTTTTTTAGGACTGGAATTGTCTTTGTCATTTTACGTTGGTCAGGGAATTGTCCTGCAGTTACAGAGTGATTGATGATTAATGCCATGATATTAGCTATTTCCTTGACACATTCTTGCAAAATAATTGCCGGTATGCCATCAATTCCTGCTGAGTACTTCTTTTTTAGGTTTTGAATTATACATTTGATGTCATGCTCAGTAGCAGGTGCAAAAAACATGGAGTTAGGGCCATGTACTGCTAGCCTTGTACACATGCTCTGGTGCAAGTCAAGATTCTCAACAATTGATGTTGTAAAGTATTCTCCAAAAATATTAGCAATTTATGTATTGTGTTTTTTTTTATACCATTATATGTAGTTTAAAACAATTTTAGGTATGATACTAGTTCGGCTCAACTTAACGTTAACTAGGCTCCATAGTGATTTCATTTTATTGTTTGAGTTTTGAATAATGTTCGAATAATAATCTTTTTTTAGATTGGAAATTTTAATGTCGAGTAATTTTTTTGATTGTTTATAATGTTTGATTATATAAGGATCCCGTGTAGTTTTCTTGAGCCAATTCAACTCTTTAAGATTTCTCTTGGGAAGGGAACTTTACCCCTCTTAAGAGTTCCACGCGATTTCACTTTTTGTTTGGGGAACACTATATTGAAACACCATCTAAAATGTGAGAAAAAGTCAGCAAACAACTCAGTTGAACTTTTTGCAAGAGCATCAAATGTGTAATTATTTTGCAGCAAGGTCTTAAATTCCCATATTGACTGTCTATTTATTATTCTTGTGTTTACATATTCAACTTTTTTATATTTATTTACAGCTGGCCAAGTCATAATTTGAGCTGCGTGGTCAGAAGCTCCCAGGTCATGGACCTTACAGGAGGCTGAGGAAATATTACTGACTATATAATCCAGACCACTACCCGTTATATGGCTGCCATATTTTGCTACGCAAGTGGGCTCATTATACAATAATATTAATTGATACATTTCAAACAGGCTGAATAGTTCTTTTGTATGACGGCTATCCTCCCAAAAATCTATATTTAAGTCACCACATATCGTAGTGTAGTAATAAGTAGGATATGTTTATAAATTATTAATAATAAATATTTCAAAAAATATGTTAAGGATTGTATTGGTAACCTATGATGTTGAAAGTAGGTTGCAATTGTAGAACTATCTGCTAAATCGGTAAGGACACGATGTCCTACATTATTATAATTGTAATTAACAATCAGATATGAAAGAAAACCATTCAGAGACCACTGTTTTCCAAGTCAAGACGTGCCTTATGATTTCCGATCCTGCCCCTCATCCTAATGAAATACAGGGTCGGAAAGTCCCCATGAAACCATGGGGACTTTCCGACCTTGTAGATGAACAAAGTTAAGTTCACCACATGGCGATCCTGCAGTTGGAAGCCCTATGGAGTTTTCTTTGGAAAATATAAAATGAGTGATGTGAAGTAAAATTAGTACGAAATGGGCGCAAAGCAAACAAAGGAGGAAGTCATCAACGTACAAACAGGAAATAGCCAGGCCAGTACCAATACAAGCTTATCAGTACAGGAAAGTCTGGGAGCGTTAGCGTTCATTGTCTTGTGCATAACGATTATGTGTATTGGAGGAATCTTGATATTCAAAAGTTGTCGGTCACGACTGAATAGGCGAATCGACAGAAAAGTTCGAGAGGAAGTCCGAAGGAGCCAAGAGCTGCAAAGCATATCATCGTCCTAGTGAATAGTGCGTGAGTGTAACAAAAAGTGAATGAGGCAAATGTTGAAGACGTTGCGGAAATGAAAAGGTTGCTTCATGCCAATAGCGGACAACTTCAAGGACATCTACGAGGAACTCAGAGTGTAATTTAGGAAAGGACAATGCTGAAAGGAGTAGTTTGGAGGTAACTAGGAAGTATATCAGTAAATTAGATAAAATTAGGAGTGAGGTAATTAGGCAAATAAATGAATTTCGCAATAAAGCAGGTACTTTGGAGGATGTCGAGAAAATAAATTATTGCAGCAACCGCAGAAGTATATAGATATTGATGATATTCTAAAGCGTAGGTTAGACAGTTTAGATGTAACTAGTGGTAATTGTAGTAGTTTAGCAAAAGAATCAGATTGTAACTCTAAATTAGTGCAGTTAGACGTCAAAATGGCTGAGAAATTTGATTTAAGAACAGCTGTAGCTATAATTCCAGTATTGACGAATACTAGAGATTCGGTTTTACAATTAACAAATGCAATAGAAATGTAAGATAGTTTATTACATAATGAGAACAAAAAGTTATTGAAATTTTTTTAATATAGAAACTCATTTCTTATCTGCATCTGTGTCTCTGTGTGAAAAAACTTTTGTTTTTATAAGATTATTGCTACTGATAATTTAAATATTTGTACCGAGTTTCATTTGGATGTGAATAATCTCTTTGAGGTTATTTAAAAACTGTCTTTGCTGTGTACATCTATCACTCTGTAACTGTTTTAATAAACGTTTTCAGATCTGTGTTTATCTGAAACATTTTGCCTAAAATGATATTTTCTGTTTTAGTTTGGTATCACGTTTTAGATACACCGTGGAATAATCCTTTTTATACTGCCTACACTGATTTTCTAGTATACTAAAATTGATTATTTGTACTCTTCCAGGAAACAGAAATTACTATTTATTTCTTGCGTTAAGGAATTAGTTGATGATTACAAATAATAAAAATAATTTGCGTAATAAGAAATCTTACATCATGAAAATTGACAAACATTTTAAAAATATAGTCCGTAAGTATCTATCTGTGCTATTTAAATTTAAAAAGTATTTTCTTATAACTTTTTAAGGATCCCATTAGCAATAGATACGTTTGCAGAGTTAAATTGGAAAACAGAACGAAGCGTTGTTTTTATTCTTTATTTGGCAAATAAAGTGCCAGCGGCCAGTACGTCGACAGGCTTTATCGAATCATTATTTACACCTTGAAGCCACATTGTAGTGGTGTAGTCGGAGCCGAGTTGCTATTTTGGGTGTATCAATCTTCTGAATCATTCGATCTGCTAAATCACAATCAATAGTTGATTTAAATTCATTCAAATATTTCTCGCACTCAAGAACTTACATCTCACATTATATTTGTTATGTAGCCTGGCAACTATCGAGAGCTAAAAGTATTCAAGTACTTTCAGCGGGTATCTGAGAACAGTGAGTACTTTTAAGAATTGGGGTAGTAGGTATTCAATTTTTCATCTAGTTCTCCCATCACTAATGACAACTCAAGATGTTTCAGAGAATATTTTCTGTGATATTACATCACAGGAATCAAAATATTGTCAGCGTAAAAACCTAAAATTTAATTTCTGCTACCTTGATCTTGTATAAAATACGTAACAATGAATGGAAAAATATGTATAACATTAATGAATATTATCCACAATTACTACTATTTTAACTATTGGTGCTTTACTGCATTATAAACTAATAATAGGTAATATTAAAATTATAGCTCGCAGACTCAAGAGAAATCTTTTAAAATATTTGATACAGTTGAACACTCGTTTGAGCTCTTGTTTATCTGTTTTAATGTTTTGTACACGATTTTTTACCTAAATTCTTGTGTTCAGCTAAACCAACTCGAACGTAAGGAATCCCAATGTGCATTTTAATTTTCTGAATTATATATTTCAATAAGAATGGAGTTTCCAGTGTTATTAATCTACCCATTCCAACATTAGAATCCTCTTTACTTTCTACTATTGGTTTACTAGATTTGGGGTTCAAAGATGAGGCCAGCCAATCATTCACACCATCTAACATTGCATCCCAACTTGTATGAGGACTGAATATCATTATATCGTTTTTAATACATTTAATTATAACTCTCTCTTTCCAGTGACTAAAAATTAAAGTGAAATGTAAGTAAGTATATTGTAAGAGGTGATCCTGTAAAAAATTTGTTTTTATAAGAAAATATATAAGTATCTACCTCTGAGTAATACACGTCATAGGACGAAATATATTTGGATGATAAGTTATAATCATTTGTACTTTATTATCAATAGCTTCATCAACTACATCTTCTGTTAAATCGATGGTAAGTAAAATAGTACTAACTAATTTATTTTTTTCAGGTTCTACCAAAAGTCCAACATTATCCCAAGATTCTGCTAGTTTTAAAGGGGAGATATTTTCAAGTTTTTTCAACACTTGTAATAGTGGTATACCCATTTTGTTATAATTTCTACATACAACGGTGCCCCAAAACATAAATACAAGGATGTTGTTTTCACTACAGTAATATCAAAACACTAGTGACACTGACAATTCTAAAGACGGCTGTGTTGGCGTTTCTCCACCGTATCGGACATCGGACTCGGCACTCGGCAGAGACTCGGCGGCTCGGAGCTCGGATACATAGGCAGGCCCCAGGCCCATGGGGGTGAAACTAGAATGGGGATATGAGCAACGTGACATCACTTCCAGCCTGACAGGTTTTTATGATTGGTGGCTGACAGCCTGCTGGATGACGATTGGACCCTGACAGATTTATTTAGTTAACCATTGGTTCTTATCAAATTTGCCGCAAAATATTCGTAAATCGGAAACAGCGCGATCCAGAATTTCTGTCATCTGCCGGAAATATGTCGGTTTTATTTTGGTGTGAATTTCAGGGTAAGTTGTAAATTTAAATTTTGATTATTATTCCTATGTTTATTATCTAGATTTTCCAACTTTTAAAAATAATAGATGACATTTTTAGAAATGCATTTGTTTATATATTTCATATTACTTAAGAAGAAAAACATTAATACCTATTTATACTTCCATTTATATACCTAAAAAAAATACGTTGTATTAACTTTCAGTAATTTTCTTCTCACACAAAATATATTAATCTTTTGTTAATAAAATCTATTACGGTATTGAAATGACAATCCATTTAGTGTGATTTGTTTTAATTTAGTTCAAACATTTGAGAATACAAANCTATACACATGCAGAAAAAATCGTAGTAAATTGTTAACGTTTAAATTGTTTTGCAATTTTTAAATACATTTTCATGAAAACATTTTTCAATCGTGCAAAAAAATAAATATAAGATACGTCTCCTAAGTGTATAATAAATTCTCGGAAATTGAAAAAATTCTTGGTTTCACATTATTTCACAAGATTTTCTCGAATTTGTTATAAGGCATATACCAACCTGTTGTTTAATCTCTTGAACGCTTATGATGTATATAATTGGCATGAGCAAAGTCAATAAATAAATAGTGATTATGACGGATATATACGCTGCTAAATAATTTGTGTCTGCTTACGATGGAAAAGTTTGCTTGTGCATATCTATTATCTATGAAGATCGATAGCTACTAGTGTGGTATAAGTTGTTTTGTTCATAACGGTGTAGATCTTTGAACGGGAATATTATTGTATCTCATATGTTTCACGAGTTTTACATACATATTTATAACGATTTAGCAAATATATTTACTGAAATAGAGTGAGAACCGCTTGAGGTTATGTGGACATATTCAGGTATTGCTTGTCCCATTTTTCCGTTTACCGGTAACACGAGAATACGAATTCCTTCTCTATATACTGATTGCAAGAATTATATGTATTTGCAACAATTTTAATATTATATTTGTTCTGTTTTTATTTTCTTAGAATTTAAATGCAGTATACTGTTTGTGACGACCATAATTCTATTGTAAACTGAATATGATGAATACACTAGGGCAAAAAGGGATCACACCAGCAAAGAGTGCACTTCTCGTAACGGATCAAGGTGTTCAAGAGGTTAATGTACTATGTAATTCATGTGTATTATAACAATTTTGTTTGATTATGAACTCTCCCCGTGTTCATATAATTTACGTGTACCTATTTTTTCTATAACTTTTCATTAAAAATCATTACATTTAAATATATTTTCAATAATACCTAGTAATTTTACCTATCTCAGCAGGTAGTATTTCTGACGCCAATAATTGATGTAATTTAAAGTAAACAAAATTGTGAATATGAATTTATTAAATTCATTGTTAATATCAGCATTTTTCAAATGTTTTGTTGGTATTATAACTGAATTTATGAACTCATATTTAATATCAATATTTTTACTTTAGAAATTACTTCGGTTATTTGTCACAGAAATATTACTTGAAATCCTTTATTACAAGCCACCCTGTATAATAAAAGCGAAATGACCCCGTCATTTATCATCAAGGCCGGCCTGCCATCGAAGGCCTTTTTAGTTCACCCTGACGGCCGGTAGTTTCGCTACGGTTCTGTTTATCTCTTTTTCTTAGGTGCTCCGTTTTCTTCTATTATATATTTTGTGGGCAGGCCTTTTCACGACCTGTTAAGCGCAAGCAGAATCGCCATGTTGAAAAGGTGGGAATTCAAATGTTTCGTACAGTTTTTGTTAATAATGGCTGGAAAAGCAGTATTATTTCTGCAAACATATAGTTAATTAGAACAAATTATTGATGGTGTCTTATATTACTAATCCATAGTTCAGTCGAAGCACATAATTGTGAGCAATTAAAAAGGTGGCTAAAATCTCACGGACGTCCACAAAATGGAAATAGAAGAGAGATGAGAAATGTTAGGCCTCCGTATTCTTATTATTGTCGCGTTATCGTTCCCCTCGTCTGATTGGTCGGCGTGGCGGAAGGTGTTCCCGCACGGGCTTCGGGTCGTGACGCATAAGGTGTTGCCGCGTCACGCCGCAAAACTCGCTGAGACGCCAGTTGTGGCCTTTCAGTAGCCTCCTTTAGCACTTGGAGGGAGTTAGCAGAGACGATTTTGTCAGGGTGGACAGTTGGCCGAGGAGTTGGGAAGAGAATCGCTCCCTGCTCACGATTGTCGAGTTGTCTTGACGACTCCGCAGCTGCTCTCTCATCCGGGAAAACGGCGAGCGAACAAGCTTATGGCGGCCCTCGTTCTGCCTCCTGGTCCGAAGAATCCAAAGAAGGACTGGGGAATGACGACGTACGAGCTAGATAATTATCCACACAAGACATCTTGAGTTCGACTCACTTCTAAGCGTAGGTAAATAGTTCAAAAGTTCCGGGTTTCAACTGACCCTGTGTAGAATAGACGCCAGAATAATAACTTGCCATGGCAATAAAGTTCACTATGCTATAATCTCCTTTCAGTTCCAGTAACATTATTTTATAAATACCTACTTTTCAGGCAGTGCTTAGAACATTCAGTAGAAGGCAGAGGGGACTTTGCTATGGTCAAAAGTAATACTGCTATCATTATGATGCTTCTTTGCTGTGATTATAAAATCTGTCTGTTGCCATCACAAACTATCTTGCAAGCAGTGCAAATTACATTGGTGTCTTTAAAGAAAACAATATTCTCTTAAAATAATGTATCTATCTGGTAGGTGGAACTACTGTCTCAGTAATGTATTTTTGCAAGCACTGTTGGAAGATTTTGCTGCAAGAGCATAATTATTTCTACCCTTTGCAAGGAAACTTTATTATCCTGAATGAGTACTTTTGCAACAAGTAAAAACCTTTCTTTAAAATAATATACAGGGTGTTTGTTACGGGCTTATTTTTTGTTTTTCTCTTTTCTTCTCTCATTAATTGAATTCAGAGATTATAATTAACTGATGAATTTAAAAAAAATAATTGGAATATTTCAACTACGGCTGTTGCTTAACCTTAGGTTAAATTTTGAATTAATTAAAGGCTTATTCGCGAAAAGATACGAAAAATATTTAAACAATAGGTTTTGTTGATTTGAAATTAAACGCGGTTTACCGGCAATGGAACCTTTTCTTGCGATTCTTTTTTGCTAAACCTTTCCGTGGCCGATTCGTGTTAACACTTGGGCGAGGAGAACGTCGTTTTAAGTATTCTGCAGCGTGTGCTCTAGGCACGATAAAATTATCACAAATTGTATGTGGATTTAGCTGCTTCTGTGGGCACATTTCGTTGAGATTTATAAATTCTAGTAGTTCCATTATCAACTTGGTGGTTGGATTTCTGCCCAGAAAACTTAAGACGTAAAATACGAGTAGTTAAGCAGTGGGCATTCTAGGCCACTTCCAGGCTACCACCAGGCTGCCGCCATCCGGAGCTGGCACCAGGTCTCCAGCNTAGCGGCGATATAGCGCTTTGACAGATGACGTTTAAGTTCATTTGCTATACGCTACGCCCTACGTCCAAATTTTCAGAACCAACTTGACCACATTTTTATTTGAACGCTCGTTATATGGCAAGCACTCGGGCAAGCACCAACGCGATTGTTTCTAAATGATAATAAACTTTTTTAGTAATAAATTGTAATTTTAAATAATTTACATTAGATTCAAAGCAACCAACACCGTTAGTTTCATGTATTTACGTACTACAAAATACATTATATAATAATTAACATAAGAACGCATAAAGTAATGGACATTTTTTTTTTAGGTTGGACTCGAGTTGTAATCTAGACAAAAATTCTCTAAGACAGACAGTTATTGATACATATGCTATGTCAACTTGCAAAAGACACAATTCAAGGCTGTTCTAAAAAATCTTTACAGAGTATTGCTGGAAAGAATGCCATAAAGTTGGAAGACCTAACGAGAAGGCTAACATAGTTAATATTTTAGTGAGTATTAATAATTATTACTGATCTGATGCATACAATTTATTATCCACTTAAATATATTTGATAAAGAAAAATATGTTTATGTTTTATATTCTGCAATAATTTGCAATATTTTTCTGATGGGATAAACTCCAAAGTAATATATGTAATTATTTACTAATGCAAGCATCTTTGTAGATACTGTTTTCAAGTGCAATATTTAAGAGAAGCAAAATATGAAGAATTATTAGCAGGAAACTGAAGAATTCAAGAAAGAACATGTTCACTGAATGATAAAACCTCTGTGTTTCAATATCATCTATGTTGTCGATTACCACAAAATGTGTTATATTTAAGATACGGTAGCTGTTGTAGAGCATAGTATCGATTTTAGTTAAACAGAGAAGAAAAACATATCAATAAATAATTCTTTCCTGCCTGCCAAAAATAAACAAGATTCTCTATCGACTTGATACTCAAAGTTCCAGACCAAATGTCTGGTAAGTTTATATCATCGTTACGTCTTCAAAATGCGACGTGCATGTTTTCAGTAAAATGCGTTAAGTTCTGCACATTCAATAAACATCAAAACACATAATCTGTTAAATAACAGCTATCTTATTTTTTACAGAATTGCGACTGTCTGCGGTAAAATAAAAAAATAATTGTAATTCTTGAATAAAAAAGTCAAGAAACAGTTTCTTAACTCCACTGAACAATTTGATGAAGTTCACGTCATATTTTGAAGGCAGCGACGAAATAATTTTCTTAATCAAAATTTGTGGTCAGTAAAAAAAAAATTCTCTTGCAGTATACTT